CCCCACGCGCGCAACAGTCAACAGGGCTGAAGGCCATTTCTCATGACCCTGCTCAGGGCTGAGCTCATGCTACATCGGTGGTCATGGCTGGGCAGGCTACATGCCCAGCATGCTGTGAGTTCTAAGTGGAACTTGAACCCTAAAGCCTCCACCCTCTGACGACTCTGGCCCGGTTTAGCACAGATATGGTGTGGGCCTTTTCAGGCTCCTTCCCAAAGATTGGGGGGCTCTCTGCTCTGTTCAACCCCAGCTGCTTATCAGATTTACAGCCTCAGCTTCCTCTCCTGCCCCACCAAGGGCGAGGCGTCGTACTGACCATGAGCTACGTTGTTGATACAGTCCAGGAACTCTCGCCCTTGCTCGTCGTACAGATACTGCCCTTGGCTTCGGATAATCTTAACAGGGTCCTCGGGAAAAAAGAGTCTGCAGGAAGAGCTGTGGGGACAGGCAAAGAATGGACAGCCCGGTCTAAAGACCGGAGCGGGAACGGCACTCATCACAGCCGCCTTCTGGAAAGGACAAAAGCTTGCCTCCTCATGCCTAGGAGACACAGGACGGGGCAGAAAGTTGCTGAGACAAAACTGGCTAAGCCTTGGCAGCCCGCTCACTTTTGCTTGCACAGACATCAGTTCCTCCAGTCCTGGTGAAAGAATCTTCCAGATGGCTTCCCGAAGAAAAGCCCCGTGTTAGGAGCTGGATCTTAACCCCTCAACATTCCTTGCCAGCTCAGGGTCCTACTGCCCCTGGTTGGGGTGGCTAGCCCCAGCCACCGCCTCCTCTCCACGTGGAGCCAAGGGTCCCCCTCACAGGCCAAGAGCAGACTTCGTCTAACCCTGTCTGCGACCCGGCTGCCCACCCGGGCCAAGCCCGTCTTCCCTTGCAGGCAGCTGCTGGGGGCAAAGCCCGCTCTCAGGGCAGGGGACGTCCCGGAGCCGCGGGGTGGCCCGCGGCCGCTTCTAGGAAGCCAAGGCTGAGAAAGGCGGGGAAGTCAGGGACTTGGGGCTGTCGCGCCTTCCAAGCCCGCACGCGGTACCTGAGCAGCCGGTGCCTCAAGTCCAGAGTGGCTCCCTTGGGGCGCCGATCCGCGGCCATTTCGCCACGCTGTCAGTCAGGGCCCAGAGGCTGCGCGCTCGGCCCCGCCTCCGCCAGCCACGTTAGTTTGGGGCGGGGCTTCAGTGCTGGCCCCGCCCCCGGGAGCTCCCTTCCCGGCGCTCAATTAATTAGTCCTGCAAGCCACGCGCAAGCTCGCTTGTGACCCACGCCACGGTTCGCGGATGTTTTGCGCTGGGCCAGGGTTGTTTCTCGCCCTTCGCCTCTCCCACCCCCGGGATTTGGCTCCCAAGAACGTGTCTCCAGGTCGCCCTGTTGAATGGGATTTAGGACTGAGGCTGGACACGCCCAACAGGTTGCCCTCTCTGTGCTTAAAGCGTGATGTTCCGTGAGGGTAATGACGGGCACCTGGAAGGACGCAGGCTTTCCCAGTTTGGTGCAGGAGAGCTCCGGGCCACTGCTGCGGCCGACCACGGAGATCCCTAGAGATTCTTGCTAGGCCCAGGCATGGTGAACTTGACATGTCGCTACGCGAAGAGAATCTTGCAGTGGGCAGATAGGAAGAGGGTTGGGAGAAGAAAGGGTTTTGCTCCCAGACTCACAGTGGGCCTGCTGCAGGCCTCCTGAGCTAGCACACTGAGTGACAGGAGACCTCTACGGTTAGGGAACTGGGAGAACAGAGATACCGCCCCGAGAGTTGGACGCTGGGACCTGGACAAACCCTGGACAGAGGCTGAGGACTGCCCCTCAGCAGGCTGGGGCAGTCTTGCCCACATGCCAGCCCTCTGCCCATTAGCCAATAGCTCATTTCTTCTCCACAAAACTGCAGAAAAACATTAAAGAACAACCTTATATTCTTGCATTTCTTGTTTTTATTGTGGTAAAATATACATAAAAAAAACAAGCCATTTCGAAGGGTACAATCCAGAGGGACTAGCATGTTCTCATTGCTGCATCCTGTCACCACCACCCAGCCACAGAGTCTTCCATCTTCCTAAATTGAGTGGAGTTGCATGTATGTAACCATAAAACTACCCAAGAGTCCACCTTCCTGCTCAAAAAGCCCCTTCCTGCCTGCCCCGGGCCCCATGCTAAATATCTGTCCATTTTCTGGCAGCTGACCTTGAAGGCAACACTGGAGGCCAGGAGGGCACAGACTGAGAGGAAAGAGGGGGCTGAGCAAAGATTGGATGTAGAGGGGAGCATGGCAGAGCAAACCAGTAATCCCGGCACCTGGGAGGCGGAGGCCGAACTGCAAGTTAAGAGACCAGCCGAGGCTATCGATTGAGTCCCTTTCTCGACAAGCAAAAAAAAAAAAACAACAACAACAAAAAAACCCTGCCCCCACCCCTGACTCTAGGGCAGGGTTTCTCAGCGGGCATCCTCAGTGGGCATGTTCACCACTGGCCAGGAGTGTCCAGGATTTCAGATGTATGCTCGCCTTGACTCTGTCCACTGAACAGCAGGAGTGTCCCCCAGTTCTGTGATAACTGAAGGCCTTCTCTAAGGGTGGGAATGGAGTCAGTCAGCGTCTCTCAAGCCGCAGGTCCATCTGTTCAGGGGGACAGCCATCCTGGTGGTTGCTTTAGCTGTCACGGAACACTTCAGGACTCAATAAACAGACTCCTCTCTCCTTCCAGAATTGAATGACTTACAGAGAGCCTCTTCTCTAGACAGGGAGACCCAAAGCCTCTCAGTCCTTGAGGCTCATTGGTGAGGCAAGGCGTTCCCCATTGTTTCATCTGAGACCCTGAACAAGTCAATCTCTGTCCTCACTCCAGGCTGGCCTAGGACTCAAGTGGCTTTGCATGTCCTTGTGCAAGGACTCAGGTATGAGGCCACAAGAGGGCAGCAACGGGCCAAGAATGGTCTACTGCAGCCCGGCTGAGAAAGAACAGGGAGACCCCTGGCTTTCGACCCCCACCAAGCTCTACTTGCTGTCCACCCATTGACAAGGGACCTCCCAGCAGATTCCATACACTGCCACACAATTCTGCAGACAAAGGAGGTGACTTCTAAGAGCATGGGTCTAATTCCAAGCCTGTCACTCCAGCCTGGCTGTGCATTCCTGAACAGCTGACTACCTACTCAGAGCCTCAGGTTTCCCATCTGTAAAATGGACATAGTGACACCTACCACTGCAGCCCCTCTCTTTGCAGGACGGATGAGGGGACCAAGTTCTTCGGCGGAAAGAGGAGTGCACCCAGTATGGCAGGCTGGGGAGGCTATGCTGTGTCTCCAGAGCAGACATTGACACCAGAGCCACATCAGTCCTTTCGGCCCACTCCACCCATCTTCCTTTTCTTATTTCTGGTTTCCCAGTTGACCCAGTCAACTGGCAGAGAGCATGGTCTGTCTACGTATCGACAGCTCCTCAGAGGGACAGAGGTAGGGACCTGACATAACCTGTGTGGCTGGGCCCCTACTGCACACCAATAAGTCTGCGTATGGTCTGGTGAGTATGGTCCTCCACAGACTTCAGTCCTTAGAGGAAGGAGGCCAGAGACATTGTTATTGCAGCCTCCTGCTTTTCTCTACACACAGAGAAAGAGTGTGGGTTTGTCATCCGTGACATGGGCACATTTGCTGGGCATCTCCCCAGGTTGTTCTAAAGATATGCAGAGGTATGACATGGGTCCCCTAGACAATACTGTGATTACTACTTGACCCTGGGGCAGATACAGGGAGGACAACCAGCCACAGGGACTTTGGGGTGTCTGAATGTTCTAAGCTCTCTGTGTAGTCTACAAAGCTGAATCATACTGGACCACATCCGAATTTTAAGTATTACTGTCTCATGCTACAGAGGAGTGGCAGGAGGCATTTCTTTTTTTTTTAAATGATGTTTTCTTTTTAAAAAAATATTTATTTATTATGTATACAATATTCTGTGTGTATATGCCTGCAGGCCAGAAGAGGGCACCAGACCTCATTACAGATGGTTGTGAGCCACTATGTGGTTGCTGGGAATTGAACTCAGGACCTTTGGAAGAGCAGACAATGCTCTTAACTGCTGAGCCATCTCTCCAGCCCCAGGAGGCATTTCTTAAGATGTTATACAACAAAGGCTAAGAATGTAGCTTAGTTGGTCAAGTGCTTGCCTAGCATGTGGAAAGCCTTAGGGTCAGTTCCCAGCGCTGTAAAAAAAATGGATGCACTAACTGTAATCCCAGCATTTGGAAGTAGAGACTGGAGGGTCAGAAATTTAAGGTCATCCGAAGCTACATAGTGATTTCAAGGCTAGCCTGGGCTACACGAAAGCTGGGTTTATTTCTGAAGGGCTACAACAAGATCCACTCTCTCAAATTTTCTCATTTAAATATGACATCGACATTTTGCTCATTGAGAGATGGGTCTGTCTTTTCCCCCTTCCATTGGGATGAACCTCTGTCTCTGGCAGGAAGTGACAGCATATGACTTCGGAGGCTTTGTCATACAAGGTGACACAGCTTTCCAGGAATCCTGTGGCCATGCTGTGAGGTAGCCCAGGCCATTCAAACGGGTCGTAGGTAGGTAGGTGTCAGGGCCATTGGGATCCTAGCTGACAGGTACCACTCACCGGATGAGGAAGAGTCCAAGAGAGACCCACCCAGCTCGTCCTCTTGAATCCTTGGAACTGAGAGGTTGAATATTTTGAGGCAACAAGTTTGGAGTGTTCTTGCTTAGGAAGCACAGCAGAAGAGGACACAGGAACTTAGTGATGTTATATGACTGGTCCCAGGATTCTGCTGACATCTATGGGTCCAGGTCTTGAGCCTATACCCTCCTATCTCCTAACCCTTAACTATATTCTCGATTCTGGGATGGCTCTCCCCCTAGGGAGAGCCCTTTTCCTCTTCAGCAGGAACCAGCAGGGTGAACTCAGCTAGAGGTGACCACAGAAGTCTGCAAGGACAGACATACCCAGACACACACGTGTGGTTTATTACACCTTGGCACGGAGAGGAGAGGGAGACCGTGGATGGAGTGGGTAGCTAGGAACCTTTGTTAGCAGTGTTGAAGCCCCTTCTCGGAGGACAGGGGTTTCTGTCATAGGTGTTTTGTTCAGGCTAGCAAGGACCAGCCTTTGGGTTCATGGTGTCTGTACCACCTACTAGGAGGCCAGTTTCTGCCAGGCTGACCAGAGTTCTAGGTGGGAGACTTGGGGCCAGTGAGACCCAAGTTCTGAACAAGAGGCCTGTCTCCTCAGAGCTGACAAAGTTCTTCTGTTCCTGCTTTGGGTGAGGAGAGGAGACTGGAAGTAGCAACTAGTGCATCTGGGTCTCCCTACCCTACAGTCAGGGGTCACTGAGCTGCCACACCGAGGCATTCATAGAGCCCTGCCACTTCCCAAGGCCCGAGGACACAAACTCCTCTCACAGTGGCCTTTGGAAGCCTACCGAGCTTGGGTACAGCAAGGCCTTCTTGGTTCTTTCCATCACCTTCTCTCCAAGTGCTGGATTCTAGGAATCGTCGCCTGCCCTGTTGAACACAGAGTCTCAGTGCAGCTGAGTGTGGCAGGGTCCAGAGGCAAGAAGGTACAACAGTCGTCCAAGGGGGTCTTGTTGGGCAGTGAGACGACGGGGCAGTGGGGCGTCAGAGGAGAGTTGTTGTGTGTCTCTGCTAATCAGGTGATTGCAGGCCCAACCTGGAGTCTGTCCAGCCTCACCTGAGCCAGGCGTTTTTCACCTTCGTTTTCTTCTCTAGGAAAGCCAGGCCCTGCCGGGGGCCCTCACGTACAAACAAGTCTCTCCAGAGTGGCCTGTCTTCTTTCCTGCCGACTTCCTGTGTAGGTTGTCCTAGGGCTGGTTGGCACACTCTCAAATGTTTAAAGGCCACCGTTGGCACATCCCATAAAGAAGATCAATATATTACTGTTTTGTTTTTACACAAGTTAAAAACATCCAAACAGATCTGTACAGGTTGGGAGCCATGTCTGAGGATCACTGGAAAAGGAGGGAGAGATGGAGGGTGATGAGGGGCCTGGAGAGGTCCTTGTGGCCCTCACCAGAAACCTCTACCCTGACGATTTCTTCAGGAACAAGTGTAACCCCACCTTTCTTTCTAGGCCCCTTTCAGTGGGGCAGTGAGGATAAGTCCCAGGAGGCTCCCCAATGGCTTTCATTTGATAGGTCCAGATGCCACCCAAGGCCCAGATGACCAATAAGGTAGATGACACCCATCAGCCAGGACCAAGCTCTAAGCCTCGACCACGTGACCACAAAGTCACCAAAAATGTTGAAAATCCTGACCATTCAGTCCCTGTGAGACTGAGAGTCAAACCTTTGTGTGATGATACCTGGTTCCATGGGTCCTCTCTCTCCCTCTAACTCTCCCATCCCAAATCCTTCAGGCCCACCCTCGAGACCCTTTCCTGAAAATACCTTATGCCAGCAGCCAGGCACCGGCAGCCCGTCAGGGCCCTGGAAAAAAGGAGGTTTAAATGTCAGGGGCATGAGGCTTATCAATACCTTCCCCACCCTTGCTGGGACTCTAAGGAGATGTAGCCAGGGAGCTGCTACTTGAAGCCACTGGATTCCACTGAAGCAGGGTTGGGAGTCTCCTCTGTCCATTTGAGGACATAATGTCCCCCATTGCACTTGTCCTATCCTCTCATGGTGCTTTTTGGGGGTACGTGAGTAGTGGGCAGATCTAGGACTCTAATATGATGGGCGCTGTGTTAGACATTTGCTATTGCCGGCCAGAGGAGGGTGGGATCCTTTGAAAAAGGTGGCATGGCTTCCTGCCTGCTAGTAGTGACATCCTGGGGGCCCTGAAAGCTCTCAGGATTTGGGCAGGAATGTCTTCAAGCGGTGACAGTGCAGGAGCTGGCATCTCTCCAGCCCTTCCTGGCCACTTCGGTTGGATCTGGGAGGCAGATAGTGTCATCAGGATGAACCCTGGGCATTAAAGATGGGGTTGCCTGAAAGCTTCAACAGTGTCCACCCACCCATCAGATATGAGCATGGGTGGGCTTCCTCAGGTAGCCTGGGGGGTTGGAGAGCTGGTGGTGAACAAAAACGTGAAGTCCCTGGGGGACCCTGAGGCAGAAACATTCCCGTCTATTCCAAAGTACAGGTACAGGGAAAACACATGGAACACACTCCCTGAGCCCCTTCCAAGTGCATGCTGGGGTATGGTTTGGGGACTAGAAGGTGAGGAGAGGAGAAGAGAGGAGGGGTAGAATGCACCAGAAGGAAGAAAGGAGGAAGGGAGGGGGCAGAACCAGCAGCCCAAAGCATCCCAGAAGGCCCAGCATTGCACACACAGCACACGGCAACCAGACTGCGTACCACAGGGCAGGGCCCGATGCCCTTCACAAGGCCCCGGGAGCCCGGTGCCCCACACTTGCCTCCACATCGAGGATGTTCCTGTGTTGAAGACAAAGGCTTGCTCACATGGAGGAAGTCTGGGTCCAGGCTCTGAAGAAGCAGGACTGGGTTCTCACCCTCTCAGCTGTCTTTTTGTGTTTGTGTGTATGTTTGTGTGTGCATGTATGCGCTTGTGTGCACGTGAATGTGGAGATTGGGTCCTCAGGCACCTCCTTTTGTTTGAGACAAGGTGTCCATTGGCCTGGAACTCTGCCAAGTGGGTGGGCTGGGCTAGCTGGCAGTGGGCTCCGGAGATTTGCCAGTCCTCACCTCGCCAGCACACATCACCATGCCTAACTTTCCACGTGGGGTCTGGAGATCTGAACTCAGGTTTTCACACTTGCAAGGCAAATGCTTCGCTACCTGAGCCATGTCCTCAGCCCCTGGCTGTCTGTGTTGGAGACAGAGTCTCACTGTGCAGCAGAGGCCATCCTCCTGCCTCAGACTCCTGAGTGCTGGGATTTTAGGCTGCTTATTTTCTCTCACTAATATCTCAGACCCACTAGGAAGAAGGAGAGGAAGGTACAAAGGGTTGGAGGAACTCACTGGAGCCCAGAGGACCCAGTAGAGGTCCCTGACCCTGAGTCAGTCTGCCTACTCCCCAAAGCCCTGACGATGGTGCTTGGGAGTGAACATCTGGACAGCTTAGTGTGAAGAGCTGCTTCGTTTTCCTGTCCTTTCTGAGTACCACTCTAGACCCTGCGATATAAACCCTTCACTTCGCTAGAAAACAGGAACTGGACTGTGGGAGTTTCACTACCGGGCCTGGTGGGTTATCAAGAGCTATTGCCAGCAGGAAGTGAGACGGATAGGAGGGGGAGAAGTGAAGGAAGGGTCTGTGTGTCTCCGGGGGTGGGGAGGAGGCTAGACCAACCACCGGAGAAGGAAAGGAGCAGAAGGAGAATGAGAGACCTAGGAGAGGCAGGGTGGTGTGACTCTCCCAAAGACTGAAGAAGTCCCATCTCAGGCCAGCCCAGTCTCAAGTCCATAGGAAGTCAGACCTCAGCGAGGTCTTAGGCAATCACGGTCAGGGTGGGGGAAGGGGGCTGGCCACTCCCTGACTTTGTAATACACACCAGGTCTGTGTGTCTGCTGGGCTTCCCTTCCCAGCCCCTAGCCCCCTCCCAGGACACCCCCATTACTGATGACTCTGGGAAATAACGGTTCTGTTCCTATCCTGGCTCCTCTCTACCCCTACCCAAGGTTAGCCCGAGATGGGTTAGCTCTGCCTTAAGGCTGAGTAAACAGAAGTAACTAGGAGTGGTAAACACTTCCTGGCCAGGCCTCCATCTCCACACATGGCTGCATCTTTCAGCCACACTGGTGGGAACATCAGGTCCACAGCATAAGAGCTATGATTCTGGCAATGGCACCTCTGGCTGGTCCGAGCTCCATCCTGCCAAGACACCTACCACGGGGCATGGCTGGTCAAGGCCCGGTGGGCCTGGCTCTCCCTTCTGGCCCTTGACTCCTTTCCGGCCAGGAACCCCTCGTTCTCCCTGCATAAGAAGGAAATAGTGGGGTAGCTATGGTTGCCAGGTTTGGGACCCCTTCACCACCTCCCAGCGAGACGCCCCAGGGTCCAGCAGCCACCAGGCTCTGCAGTTCTTGGCCCCAGCACCCATCTTCCCACCTGCTGCGTGCCCTATCTCCCTTCTTCCTCACCTTCTCTCCACGTTCACTCCGGTCACCCTTTTCTCCCCTGGGTCCAGGGAAACCCTGCCAGATGGATGAAATGTTAGACCTGAAGTGAGGGCTGAACCCACTTCTCTGGGACATGACACCTCTGCTCCTCTCTCAGCCATCCTCCTCCTGTGTCCACACATAACTGTGACCCCAAAACCTGCCAGGTTCTGGCTGCTGGCCTATGCACATGCTGGGTACCAGGTGGGCACAGGGAAAGGAGTACATTGTCTCTGGCCGGGAACCATCACAGAGGTATATCCAGAGCTTATGGAGAAGGGCTTTTCCTTCCTGTCATGGCCAGACACAGCTGGTACTGTGGAAACCCATGAAAGTCATGTGGTCATCTTCAACAGACTGAGAGAAGGTTACTTGTGCTCTCTGCCTTGGCTCGGTTTCTTCTGCATTCATCTCTTAGTCTAGTGTCCACCTACCCAACCTCATGACTAAGCATCCATAGAGCCCGGGCTGTGGGCTGGATGCTGGGACAGAAATGGATTGGGTGTTTCCTCCCTTATGTCTCCTGGGGCAGGCTATGGGGTGCAGATGAGAAACGTGCTCAGGCACAGACCTAGGAGACAGACGTGGCAGAGCAGTAAGGGATAGCACTGTCTTATCAAAGGAAGGTGAACCCCCCTCCCCCCAGTCAGGAGACTGACTGGTCTTTCTCTTCCTGGCCATGTTTGCTCACCATGGCAACAACACTCTCCTTAAAGTCTAGAGCATACTCTGAGGCCTCTGCATCAATCCCATTTCCCTCCCCTGCCACATGACCTCTCTGGACCTCTCCTTCCCTTCCTACTGAGCATTCCAGCTCCAGGTGACAGGGGATCAAGCCTGGCCAGAGAGCATGCTGCATCCCTATAACCCAGTGATGGCTAGGACTAATTAACGGAAGCCAAAGAGATTTGCTCTGCACCAGTAGAGAGAGGCGAATCTTTCTACTGATTGGGTCCAGGAAGATACTTGTATGGAGGAGCTGAACCAGTTCCCTGGTGATTCCCACACTGGGAAGGCAAAGACCAGAGAGGGAGAGGGCTGGTGGTGTTGACATGGCTGTGCCCTGGATACATATGTTAAATCCCTAGACTTCTCAGTTGTAAGTTTATGTTGTCTTACCAAAGGAGGCCTGATGCAATCAACATCAAACTAATGTTTCCTCTTGTCTCTTCACAAAGCTGCCCTAACCAAGGCCTCATTACTGGTCATCAATACATAGCAACAGCCTCCTTACTTCTCTCCTCACCTCCCTTTTACAGTGTTCCATCCACCCACCTATCCATCCACCCATCCATCCACCCATCCATCAATCCATCCACGCATCCATCCATCCATCCATCCATCCATCCATCCATCCAATCATCCCTCAGCTATCATTCCTGTCCATCAATCCATTCCCACACATCCATTAATCCATTCCCCACCATATCTTCATCATTCTTCCTTCAGCCAACATCCATCCACCCATCCCCTCAACCATCATCCATTGTCCATCTGTCTGTGTCTATCCACCTTCCACCATCTGTCAACCCATTTGCTCATCTATCCATTCTCTACTCATCCATCAAATTGGTCAAATTTTCACTATTATCTATCCCCATAGTACTCCAGGGGATGTCACTGAGGACACAGGGAAGCCAGTCAGCAGCAGCCCTCGGGAATGGGCCACACTTGAGCTAACCAGGTTGCTATATGCACGGGCAATGTGAGAGCAGAAGACATACACAGGAGGGCCCAGTCATCCACAGTGACCATAAGAAACTTACATCAAGTCCTGGCTCTCCGGGTCTACCCTGAGGAGAGATACAGAGGGCATGTGAGGAGGTGGAGGTGAGATCTTAGGTACTCAGCTACTGAGAGTTCAGCCCAGTGGCTGGTAACAGACAAGGGGCAGAGCAGGATGGTATCACAGAGCCATAGTAATTGGTCCCAGGGGGTTCAGGAACTCAGCAGAAGGTGAACCCCCAAAAGCTGAGTGACATGATGGGTGTGAGGTCACAGTGGGCAGGGGGCTCAAAGTCAAGTGGTTACCTTCTCTCCTTTGGTTCCTGGCAACCCAATAAGGCCTGGTGGGCCAACTGGTCCCTGGGTGGAAGAGGAGAAGGTCAGCAGGCACGGAGAGCATAGCATGCAATACCTCTAGGAGAAAGATCACTCACGACACTCACAGGCAGGCCGTGAGGGCCTCTCTCACCCGATGCACCTTTCTCTCCCTTGGCTCCGTCCAGGCCCTGGAAGTGAAGTGGAAAAGCAGTCAGGAGAGGGGACAGGGAAGGCAGGACAGGAAAGTTCGGGTCTGTGTGGAGACTGAAATACACATGACAGATGGAAGAGAGAGAGAGACAGAGACAGAGACAGAGACTCCAGGCTCTGTCAGGCCTGACTCCAGCTTGCTCAATGCTAGAGCCAGTTGCACGTGTATACATTTTCCCTTCTTCCACACAGGACCGATGGTCACCATCATGCCACACACAGGGCCCCCGATGGTCACCATCATGACATAGAAGCAGTTTAGCTGACCACCACCAGCTTCCTGAAGCCCAGCCTTGGACTAGGGCCACCAGTGATGTCTCTTCAAGCCATGGCGTGTTGAAGCTTGGGACAAAATAGAATCAGAAGTAGTGCTTGGCCACAACACTGGGGCAGGGTTCTATGACCCAGGGTCCTCCACAGGGCCTCTGCGCTGGGGAGGGAGAGATTAGAACCTGTATGACAAGAGCGAGGCCAGCTGGACTTCCGTTCTGTTTGCCTCCCTTGGGGCAGGCACATGGCACAGTACACTTGAGGTTTTGATTTAAGAGACAAGAATATGACATAATGAAATACATACCGAATCCAAGACTTCAAGTCCAGGCGGTGGGCAGTCAAAGCACAGATGTGCATGGGTAAGGAAGGGGGAGCAGAAAAAGGTGGCATGGGAAATGGGTGGAAACAGGCAAGGAGGCTGATGGAGTGGGAGAAGGGCTTGAAGGGAGATACAGTTGGGGTGCCTAGACAAAGGGAGAAGGAAAGGACAGAGCCCCAAACATGGGACAGGGCTGCTCTGGGGACATTGTTTAGGGCACTGGGAATGTACCGGCTGAGCCAGAGGCCCCACTCTGTCCATTAATAAAACTTTCTCATGAACAGAGTGTGTCTGACTCACCTTGGGACCTTGAATCCCCTGAAGGCCCTGGAGGAGCAAAGTAGATCATTAGGGCTGTGTGACTGAGTCAAAACTTTAAGACCAGGACCCTCTGGAATCAGGCTAGTCAATGGCTCTTGTGGCTCTGCCCTGGGTTCTGCCTTCTTGATCTGATGTGCCCTGCTCCCCACACATAGAAGCCTTTCCTCCCCTGGGCTACCTCCCAACCCTGCCACGACCTAGGTTGGCTAACCACTTGGTATCCTTACCATAGGACCAGGGGGGCCAGGAGGACCGGGAGGCCCCGGCTCCACTATGATCTGGGCCTAGGAAGGGTTAGAAATGGGTTAGTTACCCTGTGCCTGTTAACCCCCCATCTGTTCACCCTCTGGAGCTCCCCACATTCTTTTTTTTTTTCTAAAATAAATATTTATTTATTTATTTATTTATTTATTTATTTATTTATTTATTTATTATGTATACAACATTCTGCTTCACACACACCAGAAGAGGGCACCAGATCTCATTACAGATGGTTGTGAGCCATCATGTGGTTGCTGGGAATTGAACTCATGACCTCTGGAAGAGCAGTCAGTGCTCTTAACCTCTGAGCCATCTCTCCAGCCCAGCTCCCCACATTCTTGCAAGCATTCCTGGATGCCACACTCTGAACCTCCAGGCAAGGAGGAACCTCATTCTTGCCCCCAGAAGGGTACAACTCGGTAAAGGACTTTTGGGTCTCAGCTAGAAGTGGGTGGAGGACACAGTCTGAGGCTCCATCACCCCCTTTCCCACTGTCCTGTGTTGGGGTCAGGCCAGGTGGCTTCTCTGTAACCAAGGCTCAGGTCCCCCATAAGGTTTGGGCTAGGTGTGGGGACACCCCCAGTCTCAGTTTCCCCTTACCAGGCTTTCCTGCAGGTGGTCGGATCCTGACTCTCCTTTCTCTCCCTTGGGACCATCAGCACCCTAGGGCAAAGTGGCCTGTGAGCTTTTAAGGTCACCTCCCGCCCACTGTGCTCAGCTGCTGCCTTCCCCACCACAGCAGTGATGAGTTGACCTCTACGGTTTAAACCAGTTTTCCCCAAATCACGCACTCTGAGTAGGGAGTGGAGTTGTATGTCAAAGGCACAGACAAACTATCTCATGGTGCAGAGGCTGAGGGTTCAAATCCCAGTGCCACCTCTGGCTGAGTCATCTTCGGGCTCACAGCAATGGCTGTGAGGTAATGGGTCCCTAGAGGCTGCTAGCACCCTGGAGCTGTTCTAATATGGCCTCAGGAGCACTAGAAATGCTAATGACCGTGACCGGTGTTTACTGCCAGCTGCAGATCTTGGTCCTGTCCAGCTCATGCTGCCACTAGGACTGGAAAGTTGTTACTCCACGTCAGCAGTGAGGAAACCGAGACCTTGGGAGATTCAGTTGCTGGACTCCAGGGCAGGGCAGGGAGGTGGGCCAGCTCGGGCCACTTAGCCACTCAGCTAAGTGGTTTCTGCCTGGTTGGGTCTCCCTGCCTCCCCTGCAGGACTTCCGTGGGGATGTGAAAGTCCTTCTGCAGCTGAGGTTGTATAGGCTGCAGGACATCCATGTGAGGAGCCCCCCCCCCCACCTTGCCAACATCAGCAAGTCCCCAGGGTAAGACCCAGTCCAGCCACCTACCGGAAGGCCTGACAGGCCCATCTCGCCTGTTTCGCCTTTGGGCCCAGCTGGCCCTGGCTCTCCTGGGTCTCCTTTGGGTCCTTTGGGACCCTGAAAGCCACCAGAAAAAGGAATCAGTGGAGATTGGTGGGCATTCTCCTCTCCCCTGACCCCTGTGAACCCCTCAGCTTAACAAGTTTGACTATATATCACACCTTGTTTGTTAATTTATTAATTTGTTCATTTGTTCATTCATTCACTCACTCATTTATTTCTATCCCTTCCTGTCTCCACTCTCTCTTTTTGACTATGAAGCCAAGGATGACCTCGAGTTCCTGCTTCTTCGACTTTGTGTGTGTTTTGTGTGTGTGTCCCTGCACACCTAGCCTTACATTATACTTCTTGCACGTAAGTCTCCACCTCTAGCCCAAGTAGCTGGGAACATTGGTTGAGTGCAATAGGGGAGCCATATGGACACCTTACCCCATAGGGACAGCCATATGGATGCTTGGGGTACCTTATGATGTAGGGGTGGATGGGAAGCAGATAGGATTGGTGTGTTATCTCTGGACACTCTGGAGGTCAACTATTATTTTTTCATTTATTCCTACTTTATGTGTATGGATGTTTTTATATACATGTCTATGCAGCACATGAGTACAGTGCCTACAGGAGCCAGAAGAGAATTGGATGCTCTGGGACTGGAGTTACAGACGGTTGTGAGCCTCCAAGTGAGTGTTGGGAATCAAACCCAGATCCTCTGAAAAGCAGCAAGAGCTCTTAACCACCAAACTGTCTCTTCAGCTCCACTTTTTTTTTTTTCTACAACAGAGTTTCTCTGTGTAGCCTTGACTGTCTTGGAACTCACTCTGTAGGCCAGACTGGCCTTGAACTCACAGAGATCCACTTGCCTCTGCTTCTGGGATTAAAGTACTGGGATTAAAGGCGTGTGTTACTGTGCCTGGTTACTAGCCCCATGTATGTATGCAGGTATGTAGTGGTGCTGGGACTTGAACTCATGGCCTCATGAATGCTAGGCAAGTGCTCTACTGCTGAGCTCCAGCCCTCATGAGGCCAACTCTCTGCTCATGTGTCAGGAGCTTTGAGTGACAGCGTTCCTTCAATTGGTTCACTCAACCAATTATGACCTGTCCAAGATGTTTCTCCTATCAGGGACCCAACAGTAAAGATAAATCCAAGTGCACTGAGTAACAACTGGGGAGATGCTCACTGGTGTCTACATAGTAACACACACACACACACACACACACACACACACACACACACACACACACACACGAGATACCCAGTACAACATTGACGTAGAAATGAAAGGCTCAGAGACCTTCTCGCCATCAATTCCTGGGGCACCAGGCAATCCAAGTTCACCCTAGAAAGGAACAAATGACAAAAGGAATTGTGCTTTCCTCAGCAGCCAGTGGGTTAGTGGTCCAAGGTGGGAATTGTTGTCTCCCTGATCAGCTCACAGCCCCGGCGTCGGGTCTCTGCCAATGGGCTTCAGTGCCCACTGTTTCCCTCTGTGTATTCAGCCTGAAGGACAGCTGGAGCTGGTGGCTGTCCCTGCCAGCTGGAGTGATTAAGATTAGGACTGCAGGGTTTAGTGACTTGTTCTAGTCATGGAGTCCAGGGATACTAGTGTCAGAGCCAGACCCTGCCCACCCTGGGTTCTGTGTCTTGAGACACGGAGTGATGAACAGGGACAAGCCACAGAATGGTTGTGTACATCCTGAGCCACTGTCTGTCCCAAGGGGTCCATTCTTCAGTTTTAGGCTCTCTCCTCAAGCGCTAGGGTCTAAAAAAGGGATGTGATTTAGGAAGGGGCAGGACCCCTTTCTCTGAGTCCCATAAGCCAGGTTAGTACAGCAGGAGAAAATTAGGGGTGCGTTTATCAGAAAGGAGAGGGCAGGTGGGACTTATAGATGAATATTTGGGGGTCTCATGAATGCAGCCAAACTGACCTTGGGTCCAGGGATCCCTGGTGGCCCTGGAGCTCCTTGTGGCCCAGGAGGACCCTGTGCACAAAAGATAAAGCCAGTTATGATTAGACTCCACTGCCCACCAAGACTTACCTCCTCAGGTCAGCTCGCCAGCATCTTACTTCCTACCCAGTCAAATTGGCTCTTACAACATGCAGCTTGGTTTGTCCTTCAAGTCTACAGAGGGGCCAGTAAGAGGGTACTGGCCATTGGAGGAGATGCTGGTGCTCATGGCTGGAGCCCCCTCTGTCCTCAGAGAAGCTCTCCTCAACATGACTTTCTTTATAACATTCTCCTGCTTAAGATTTTGCAGTGACTCCCCTTGTCCCTCAAAAGAAGCTTAAGTCTCTTTCTAGCTTTCAAGACAGGTCAAATATGCAACATGAAATGGCTTGGTCCTGCCGGCTCTGCCGGTCCTGTGACCTCCCTGACCATCTGGATCTGTTTGTCTGCTATCCCAGAAGTCCCCCAGCCACACAGTAGAGGATGGGTCCACACTGTCTCAAGCGCTGACCTCATCCTAAGCTCTTACACCAACACACTTAGATGTCTGACTTATGCCCGCACCCAGAGGTCACATCTTGCCCAGCTCCTTTGATGCTGTTTCAAGTTCTCCTCTTTCCAGCTGGCCCCCTTCCTGCTGCTGTCCCACTGTGTTGTCTCTGGGCTTATTTCCTCCACCCTTCCCACTTTGTTTAGGTCCAGGCTCAGTACCCACCTCCACAGTGAGCTCCATGCTTCAAGCTCTCCCCATAACAATGTTCACACACTTACACAACTCCATCTGGTCATTCCCAAGACACTGGGAGTTTGACACCCTCACACTCAAGAACCAGTTAGAGCATCCACTGCCCATGACATTGAGTCCTCCTCCCACTGTGGTACCCACACCTCCTGACTCCCTGTACTCATAAGGATTCTACCATATGTTTCCCATAAAGCCTGGGATAAACTATACAACTATCACACCATTTCACACCATGCCACGCCACGCCACACCACACCACACCATGCAGGCCAGTGAGGGTCATAGTTACCATCAACTTGTACTTCCCAGAGGCCTGTGGAAGGTAACTGGAATTGATGCTTAGGCAGGGTCAGGCATTAATACCCACTTCAGTCTCTGATAACTACCTCACTCTATTGTATATCTCTCTCTGAACCCAAGAGCAGTTGGCACCCATCTCTTTTCGGATTGATGCCCAGAGACCACATAGGTTCCAAAGCCCCTTGGTCAAGCTTGTCCTTTTTGTCCCCAATGGTAATTATGAGAAGCCCAAGCTCTCCTGACAGTGGTGCCTGGGGAGTCCCCAGAGGCACAGGTGGGTTTGGTGAGAGTGCTTTCCTTTTTTGCCTTGGCCTGTGGGAAGCTCAGGGCTCCTGGAGTCACATTCACAGAAAGTCTCTCAGCATTGTGTGGATCTCCACACAGGACCAATTTTCATATTAGGTGCCTGATGAAACCCAGGTCTCTGTGCTGAACTGTCCTTGGTCCCATAGGTAAGTCACAGTGAGCCATTGCTCCCTCAGCAATGGACACAAGAGTGCATCCAGGGCCCACCAGGAACACGCTTACCTTCAGGGCATCTAAGATCCTGCCGTCGTAGTCGATCACCACCGTATCACCTTGCTCTCCCTTGAGGCCTGGGTGACCCTGAGGCAGAGAGGAAGAGCTGCATCATGGGGGACCTAGCAGCTGTCTCCATCACACCCAGAGACGAAGAGCCCAAGGGCTGTCACCTAGGCCACAGGCATGCCTGTGCACCACGGTCACCATAGCGTACTGTCCACTCATTAAAGGCCACATGGGGGAAGTGGCAGGGATCCTGGGGCCAACTGAAGAGCATGCTGCCACCTGGTCTGGGTTACCCATGATTCACCTTTGTGTGGATATTCAGATCCAGTGATGTTTAGTTCTCCGGGAAAATAAAAATCCCAATACTACTTATTTTATTTTACTTTTTTTGGGACAGGGTCTCACTGTGTATCCCTATCTATCTTGGAGCTTGCTATGTAGACCCTGCTGGCCTCTAGCTCAGAGATCTCCCTTCCTCTCAAGTGCTGGGATAAAAGGTGTACACCGCTATGTCCAGTTTGTGTGTGTGTTAGACAGGATTGTTAGGCCAGGCTAGCCTCAAACTTAGTTTAGGATGGCCTTGAACTTCTGATTTTTTTTTTTTGTCTCCACCTTCCAAGTGCTGAGACTACGGACGACAGGTGTGCACTCCCGTGCCTGGTTTGTGCAGTGTTGGGGGCTGAACCTAAACCTGAGCTCAGGGCTTCATGAGAAGCACTCCAGGGTCTGAGCTATCTCAGCAGCCTAGAAAGCCTTACTTTGATGGGGAGACTTTTAAAAATATGTAAATAAAACAACCCCAATCACTTCTTCTAAGACACCGTGTTGACCAGTGGAGGCTGGTTCCGCCTTATTGACTGAGTCAGGGACTCTCAATTCAATCTAGAGCTGCTGTTATGGCTGGTCTTGGAGACCAGCTCGATCTGGGGATCCCGTCTCCACCTTTCATTGAATTGTGTGTTGGCCACCATGCCCATCCACTTGGTTGTCATGCTTGCTTGGTAAGTGCTTTTGCTGAGCCATTTCCCCAGCTCCTGGAGGACAGGGGGTGTGATGGTCTGGGAAAACACAGCCAGGGAAGGGATGCTATAGCATCAGCATAAAGACATTGTCCACACCATGCAGGACAGTTATCCAGGGGATGCAAGGAACATGAGAAAGGAGAGGGCCCCTCACTTTTCCTGGCTTCCATTCTGATCTGTCGCTGGCTGACATCTGGGCGTTTTCATAGCAGACAAGGCCATCTGCAAAAGGAGCTGTGCTCTGTCTGAGAAATGCCACAGACCAGATTGCTAAAAAGACTGCGAATGAACTATACCTCAAGTCCAACCTCCTTGTGCCATATGTCTAAGAAGTCCTATGATCTATGATCTCTCCTGACTGCCTTCTCCAGCTGCAAGCCTTCAGTGTACAAAAAGAAAAGGTCTCTTCAAAATATTCCAGCACATGGTTTTCCTAATGTCCTAGTTTAGTCCTAGATTAAGTAGCTTTAAAATGCCAGATCACATTATAGCTGACCCACTTAGGTGTGTTCCTCTCTAATGCCTGCACTTGGTTCTCTTCTAGTACGTATCTTTCTGCTTCATAGACAAACTCACTAACTTTGCTTGGCTCTCGGGGCTGGAGAGATGGCTCTTGCAGAAGACCTGAGTTTGGTTCTCAGCACCCACATAAGGCTGCTCACAACCACCTGTAACTCCAGCTCCAAGGGATGTGATGCCCTCTTCTGGTCTCTGAAGTCAATGCACTCACAGGCACAAACCCCGACACAGGTACATGGATACATACACAATTAAAAAATATCATCGTAGTGAATGTCAAGGTCCAGGGTGTACCTGAGTAGAGTCCCTCAGGCTCTGAGGGGGCTCCTTAGGCTAGACTGATGGCAGCATTGAGTTATATTTCCAGGTGCTGGTGACACATGAGTTGGTTACAAAAGATCTGGGGTCAGGGGCTGGAGAGATGGTTCAGCAGTTAAGAGCATTTGCTGTTCTTTTTTTTTTTTTTAATATTTATTTATTTATTATGTATACAATATTCGGTCTGTGTGTATGCCTGCAGGCCAGAAGAGGGCACCAGACCCCATTACAGATGGTTGTGAGCCACTATGTGGTTGCTGGGAATTGAACTCAGGACCTTTGGAAGAGAAGACAATGCTCTTAACCTCTGAGCCATCTCTCCAGCCCGAGCATTTGCTTTTCTTGCAGACTTGGAAAAGCAAGGCCGCCCCAAAGCAGACAAAATCATGCCTAGTGATAAATGGAAGACCAATGTTTGAATATGCAAAGAAGATTCTAGAGGAGTATACAGCTGCCTGGGAAGGGAGAGAGAGCTCTTACTTAACAACAAGTGAGATTCTTCCCTTTATATACCCATATTTTAATTTTCACTGTAGGCATGTGTTATGAAAAATTGTACAATCACTAAAATTTTAAGAAACAAGATGCCTTGGGCTTATTGCTTCACCAATCCTTTGGGACCCTGTTGAGGACAAAGGACTTCTGAAGCTACTGGGACTTTGGATCCAACTGGTGTGACCAGAAGGAATGTTACTTACCCGGGGCCCTGTGGTTCCGTCTGTGCCTGGGTGGCCCGGCTCCCCCTGTGGAGACACATGGATGCCTACTGGTGTGTGAGATTCTTATATCCTATCTCACCTCTGGCCCCTTCTTTCCCAAGGAGTCCAGGGCCCATATGCTGGGGCCTCATAGCCTGCATTATAAGAATATCCTTCCACACTGAGAAGTAGTGGAGATTGTGAGGCCCAGGAGCCCAAGACTACATGATAGCTGACCCCAGAGCTAGGCCTGAATGAGGCCTTGTCATTGGCTCTGAATCATAGGCCACTCTCCCTCAGACCACCCTACTTGTGAGTCATAGGGAACCCCTGGCCCAGGGCCTCTGGGACTTGCTTTTTAAAAGTGTAGATTAAGGGGAGATCACATCGTCCCCTGGTGACTGGATGAGAGTGTCAATGGCCCTTCAGGTCCTGGGCAGAGGGCACTGTGATATTATCACCTTCAGTCCTGGGGCACCGTCCACTCCATTCTCTCCTTGGGGCCCCACATCCCCTGGCTCACCCTGAAATGGAGAAATTATCAGTGAAAGCAGGCAGAGGCCTGGGGCCCCTGGACCTTGTGCTGGGGCATCTGGTGAATGTGGTCCTTCTGTGCTAGGGGTTGGAGCTCAAAGCACTATCTAGCCAGAGGGATTTAGGACCACGACCATCCCCTTCACATCTGGATCTTGGGGTATCTCAAGAGACTTTGTGTGTGTTCGTGTGTACAGATGCACATGTATGTGAATGCACATTTATGTGTGGAAGTCAGGAAACTCTGAGTGTCACTCCTTAAACACCACCCATTGTTTCTTGGCTTTTGTTTTTGACATAAGATGTATCTCCCTGACCTGGAACTTGCCACATAGGTAAACGTGGCAGCCAGTGAACCCCAGGGAACTGTGGGTCTACCTCCTCAGTGCTGGGGAGCTGCCATGCTTGCTTTCTTAAATAAGTAAATTTACTTTTTAAATTTAGCTTTTGAGACAGCTCTGGCTGTCCTGGAACTCTCAGAGATCCACCTGCCTCTGCCTTTGGAGCGCTGGGGTTTAATGAATGTACCATGACACCTAGCCTCCCTTTAAAAATGTGGGTTCTGGGGATCAAATTCACATCCTTGTGCTTTCAAAGCAGGGATTTTACTGATAGCCATCTCTTCCGTCTTCTTTTCTTTTCTTTCTTTTTTTTTTTTTTTTTGAGTTAGAGTCTCACTTTGTAGCCCAGGCTAGCCTCTAACTCAGATCCTCCTGCCTCAGCTTTCTGAGTGCTGAGATTATGGGTGTGTACCACCATGCTTGGTCCAAGAGACATTTTGGAGACATGCTGGCTAGGGCTTGGTGGCAGTGACAAAGGGTTTGGGGAGCAAGGTGTGAAGAAAACATCCTGTTCCCAGCTTGGCACTAGGCATGGGGTGGAGGGACTAAGGTGGGGACCAAGAGGACTTAGGATAAGGGGAGACAGATGGTCTAAATGAGAAGCCAAGCTGCTGGCTAGGTGTCCAGGGTGCCCATGGCTTCCTCCCTCTGGCCTGCCCTGGGAATTGGCCCATAGCCCCATAGGGTGAAAGTGCCAGGATAGGGGCATCTCTAGGTAGATGGCAACTTTGGAGGGTGGGGGGTGGCAAACTTTGAGGAAAAGGGTTGTATACTCACCTTGGGCCCTGGGGGTCCAGGGAGTCCTGGCTGGCTGGGCATCCCATCATCCCCCTGAGAAGATAACAGGTGAAGTCTTCACACATGAACACTTTGACCACATCTTTGAGTGGTTCAGCTAGCCCCTACCTGCTCTAGACTCACTGCACACCTGTCTGGTCCAGCCACTAGTGGCAGGTACTGCCCACACTTAACCCTCTATGGTAGGGTCAGGTCAGAACCATGTCAGTCCCTAAAAGCAGCCTAGAACCAGCTTCAGGAGGTTTCGGCAGACATGGTATGAACGAGCGAAAGGAAACAAATTCATTCATTTGCCAAGCAGCTGGTGAGCATCCCTTAGGGACCAGAGCACACATAGTCTCTGATCCGTGAACACGCGAAGTGCTTAAGTGATGGAAGGAGACTGTGGGAAAGGCACATGGAGAGGGACCTGGGCACAGCCTTCTGGAGCATGGGGCGGTTTTGCTGAGACTTGGATGGGAAGAGGTAGCCAGCTTGTCACAAAGTGGAGAACATTCCAGGTCAGTGCTTGGTTCTCAAACTTATATGTTCAGGGATCCAGAAGGCTGACTAAATAGACCCCAACCCTAATCCAAAGTCTCAGATGGATCTAGGGTCAGCCTGGAGTTTGCTTTCCTTCTCCCTTCCCTTCCCTTCCCTTCCCTTCCCTTCCCTTCCCTTCCCTTCCCTTCCCTTCCCTTCCCTTCCCTTCCCTTCCCTCCCCTCCCCTCCCCTCCCCTCCCCTCCCCTCCCCTCCCTTACCCTCCCCTTCCCTTCTCTTGTCTTTTTCCCACTTCCCCTTTCCCTTCTTCTGTTACAGGGTCTCGTGTAGCCCAGGCCGGCCTTGAGTTCACTATGTAGCCAAGGATGATTCTCCTGCCTCCACTTGAAAAGTGCTAGGATTACAGGTGTGCATCACCACATCTAGCTTATGCTGTGCTGTGGGTCAGACATAGCTTTGTGCTATGTGGGCATTCTGCCACCTAAGCTATTTCCCTAGCAACCAGCATTTGCATTGCTGACAAGGCCCGAAGTGATGGTGGGACCAGCACCGCACTTGAGGAACTATGTTCAAGTCCTAAAGAGGATGTGGTTGTGATGAAGGGTAAGAGTGAGTGAGTGAATGAATGAGACACGAGACAGGGCCTCACCACACCGAGAACTTGGGTCTGGGGAAGAGAAGGACCCCTTTCCTGTGGGGAAGCCCTGTCTCGTTCTTGTCTCCAGCCTGGCCCTTCTTTCTAGCCACAGGGTCTTCTCACCTTCTTTCCAGGAGTACCTGACACTCCCTGAAGACACAAAATGAGGGTGCAGGGAGGGGTCCGTGCTATTGGAGAGTGGTCTGCACACCAGAATTCTGTCCCTTCTGGTGCAAGTGGCACCAATGACCTACGGCCCGTGTTTGTCCGGGGCTCCTGGACTCGTTAGACAGATGAGGTGGGGAGCCAGCCAGGCTTAGATTCCTGTGCTGAGTGAGCTTGGGGAAGTCACTGTTCTTTAAGATGGGGAGGGGACACCCCCAGCTCCAGATGGATGTTGGGGTATAGCAGGCCAGCTCACTGCAGGCCTTTCTCCATCCTCTGTCTGAGTGCCCTGCATCCTGCACAGAGTCTTCAGGTTCCTTCCTACTCCAAGCACTGCCCAAGCCCAAAGAGGAGACCCTGGCACGGGGAGGGACTTCAGAAGTGAATGTGGCTGAAGACCTCTGACCACGCGAAAACCTGTAAAGCTACCCTCGCTACAGCCAAGAAGCAAGCCAAGAAGAGAGGCCCGGCAGTGGGGGATGGAGCGTGAACGTGCACAAGACAGAGAGTACTAGGAAGTACTAGTTAGGACAAGAGAGTGAGCAAGCTAGGAAAGGTCACGAACTTTTCTAGTGCCAGCATGAGAACGCCAAGTGCTAGAAGCTTTTGTCCAGACTGAGCTGTGGAAAAGAAGCTACTAAGGCAGTATGGCGATCAGTGACTGCCAGGGGCCGGGGAAGAGGATGGGTGAAGAGGTGAACGTAGGGTTTTGTATGTGTGTCTGTGTGCGTGTGTGTGTTCATGTGTGGTGTGTGTACATGTGTGCACACACAGATAATAAAGTTGAAAACAACAACAACAACAACAACAATAACAAAAAACCAAAACCAGAACTAGGCAGCAGTAGCTCACACCTTTAATCCTAGCACTCAGGAGCTAGAGGCAGGTGGATCTATGTGAGTTCAAGGTCAGCCTGGTCTACAGAGTGAGTTCCAGGACAGCCAGAGCTCATCTGAGAAACTCTGTCTCGAAACACCACCACCACCACCACCACCAAAGTCAACCAATAAAACAAACAAACCCACAAACAAAACAACCTCCCCAAACCAGAAACAACAACAAACTCAAACAGCCAAGGTGTCTCATGATTCAACCTCACAGTCTGATGCGAGGTCCAGGCAGGAAAGGTCTGCCATGCCCCCATTTAACTGTGAGTAAACTGAGCCTTAACACTCAGTGACCTGCTTCTCCTTTGAACTGAGTCTCCTGACCTCACCCCTTCAGTGTCACTGGGGGAAGTTGGGAGAAGAAGGTGGGGAGTGAGGCCAAGGGGAAGGAGGGGCACCGAGTACCCACCTTTGGTCCTGGAGGTCCCATGGGGCCCTGGAAGAAAAGAAAAGAGGTGTTAGATGGGGGGTGGAGGCAAGGAGGTCAGGGCTTGAGTTCAAGGTCATCCTTGGCTACATAGTGAATTTGAGTCCAGTCTGGCAGGGCAGACTAGAGATAGGCAGGAAAACTAAACTGAATGCAGGGAGAAAGACGACGGAGTCAGGAAGATGCCACGTAGCTACTGAAGGAGAAAGACACTGGAACCTTACTGATAGGCCACAGCCTTGTGGTGATACACAGATTAATAGAAATGGGTTGATTTAAGATATAAGAGCTAGTAGGAATATGCCTAAGCCGTTGGCCAAGCAGTGTTGTAATTAATGTAGTTTCTGTGTGATTATTCAGGTGGCAGGGAAACTAAAGTGCAGTCTCTGACTACAAACATAAAATAATAAGATGATAATAATAAATGAAATAAAAAAGAAAACCCAAACCCAAACAGCAAAACATCCCCACCCCCACCCCCCCAAAAAAAAAACAAAAGAAGAAAGGGAACAAAATTCTGACACATGCCAAAACTGGATACACTTGAAGGAAACTGTGCTAAATGTGGGGGAAAAGCCATCCTCAAAGTTCTTCGTGAGGCCTGGAGAGGTAGCTCAGTGGTTAAGAACACTGAGCCTTCCAGGTGCTCCTGGGTCTGTCTTGTCATTTTCCTTTTATCAGGGGTGACAGCACATCCCAGAGGAAGAGGCAGGCGTCATGAGAAGTAGAGATGCTCAGCCAACTTCTCGGACAGATGGAGCAGTGGCTGTGTCAGGGCTCCAAAGCTAGCAGGTGATTTGTAGACTCTCGCCCAGGAAGGAACTCTGTCCAGGCTGGGGACAGCCCGTCCACATCCCCATTGCCGGCAGAAGGATGGGCACACAAGCATGTACACCTACAGAATCCTGGTGTGTGTTATAGAGTCAGAGTCACCATGAGGCACACACCCCGGTGTGTCTGTGAGGACATTTCCAGAAAGATTCAACTGAACAGGGATGGTGCACTAAAAATGGGCTACATCGTCCCATGACCTGGGGTCCTGGACTGAATAACAGGAGAAGGTGGTTGAGCACCCATTCATAACTCTGCCTCCTGACTATAGACACACTGTGGCTGGCTGCCTCATGCTCGAGCCACCACGCTTCCCCACCATGATGACCTGTACCTTGAGCAAAAATCAGTCTTTTTTACTTGACGTCTCCTTTGCCAAGTACTTTGTCACAGCAATGAGGAAAGCAGCTCTTACAGAGGGAAAGAGACTTCCATCTCCCGGAGCCGCATCCCCGCACTCTAGCCTTGCAAACACCCCAGACACTCACCATCTCGCCATCTTGTCCAGGCTCTCCTTTGGGACCCTAAGGAGGTATGAGACAATAGCAGTGAGCGATCCAAGGGTATCACATTAACTGAGCCTGAATCTCAGGACATGGGCAAGGGCTCTCAGCAGAGCAACCAAATTCACCTTCTTTCAACCCCGAGAAGTGGTTGTAATTGTCCCCACTTCACAGATGAGAAGTTTGAGGCTTTGGGAGTTAGGCACCTAACGTGACAGTGGATGGATGAGCCAATTGAGATGACCTGCCCCAACAGGAGCTCCTGGTGGCAGTCTAGTAGAGATTCTGCACCGGATGGAAGGACAGATTGGAGTCTCTGGGCTAGGATGACAGAACTATTTTCTGTGGACTAGCCTCACATGGCCTTGGGTAGAAACTGAGGCTCATTAGTAGTGAGGAAGAGGGAGCAGGGAGAGGAACAGGGGTTGGTGGAGAATTGCAGATAAAGGGCTCGCCTGTGGGTTTCTGGGCCAGAGGTGGGATGGGAATTTAGGCTGAGCATGCAACTCAAGGTTAGAGGCCATGGGTCTTCCAGAGTTAGACTTGGGCTTGGGGTCAGGTTCAGGGGTAGAGTGTGGATAATAGTCTGAGCTGAGGCATGGGACAGGATTTGAGGTTAAGGTCCTGATTAGCACTGATTAGGAAGCAGGTCTGTGTCAGATTTAAGCATTGGTTGGTGTGAGGTCTGATATGGGCTGTGGATGGGCTTTGGGGTTAGAGTTGGGTCTAGGCTGAGTGTGTGCATTGGGTAATGGTTGGTGTTAGGCCTACTAGGAATAATGCTGGTTTGGAGTTGGTTCTGAGGATGAGGGTTCAGAGTGTGTGCCAATATAGGACCAAGTCTTGGGGGCCCCAGTTCTGTGCCTTCTCTTACCGCTGGGCCTTGAGCTCCTCTGGGGCCATCTTTCCCAGTGTCACCAGGAGGACCCCGGGCCCCAGGTGGTCCAGGGGGCCCAGGTGGTCCTGCGGCTCCATCTTGCCCTTGGGCTCCCTGAAAGACATATGGTTTGACTTGACACAGAGGGCGAGGGTGACCGTGAGGGGTTCCAACTTCCAGAAAAGTTTTCTCAGTTGGGCAAGCCCCATGCTTTCCTTTTTCTTAGCCCTTGAGGTGGGCACAAAGCTTAGATATTGGGCTCTGGCTGCTTTTTGGTAGCTGCAGAAGGGGACCTTGGTGGACCTTGCTGCCACCTTCTCAATATCTGAAGCCTGGATCTGTTGTCAAAATGACGTACATGGGGTGGGTGAGACAGAGTGTCTCCTGAAAGAACGTCCTGGTTGATCCTTTCTTGCTGCATTAAAAGTGGCAGACATGCACGGGTGGGCATGTATTTTATGCCCTCACACAACTGCATGTGGATACCTGCAGTCGCTTTCTTTGCCCGACACGGAAGCTCTCAAAATATCCTCCCACAGGTGAGAGGCTGAGCCACGGGTCATATCATGGCAGGCCACTCAGCAGTAAACAAAAAACAGGAACAGGCAATGACGGGGCACACAGACTTATGTCACACAAAATCTCTGACTCTCTACTCTACGTTAGTACCAGGTCAGACCTCAGGCATGCTGAACCCCGACTACATGGCCTGTACTGCAAGAAAGAAGCCCACAGTGATGGGTCATGGTGCAGTAGTTCCTGACAACCAAGAAAGGAAGAAGCCTTCCTATAGAGTGTAGACGGTCTAATGCAGCCTCTATGACCAGCTGGCCAGGGCCAAGCCATCTCCCATCATGCAGATGAAGTGATGGGGGCCCAGGGGCAGTAATCATTTACTTAGGGCTACTGAACTAAGAAAAACCGAGCCTTCTTTTGCCAGGGCAACTGGTCTTTAAAAAATTATTTAATTTTTTTTTCCAGACAGGGTTTCTCTGTGTAGCCCTGGCTGTCCAGGAACTCACAGAGATACACCTGCCTATGCCTCCTGGGTGCCAGGATTAAAGGCATGTACCGCCAAGCCCAGCTTTATTTTTAGGTTTTCAAAAACAATTTTAAATTTTCATTTATTTAATTTATGATTATGGGTGTTTTTCTTTTTCCTGCATGTATGCCTATGCACCACGTATGCCCGGTGCCCATGGAGGTCAGGAGGGAGCATTAGAAGTCCTGGAATTAAGGATGATTGTGAACAGCATGTGGGTGCTGGGAATCTAACCTGGGTCCTCTGCAAAAGGAGCCAGTGCTCTTAACCAATCAGTAGTCATCTTTCCAGCTTCTAATCTTAGTTTTTTCTCATTGTGTGTGTGTGTTTGCACATACATGGGCACACATATGTATGCATGCACATGTGTAGTGTGGAGTCCTGAGGTCGATGTCAGGAATCATCCACCGTATTCACGGAGGCAGGGTCTCTCGGTCAGAGCCAGAGCTGGGTAGATGAGGCTCGTCTTGCTAGCCAGCTTGCCCTGGGGATCTTGTCTGCCTTTTGAAGCTGGAATTACAGGCGGACTGCCACACCCACTGGGCCCTTTGCTTCAGTTCTGGGGATTCAAACCTCGTGCTGAAACTGCAACTGGTCTTTTTCAGATATTCTTTTCAGCCTGTGTCTCCTCCCCTTGCCAGGAAAGAGATCACCTCTCTCTAGCAAACTACACTCCACACACATATCCCTCAATTTTCTCAACGAATGGCTGGCAGTTCTCTATGGCCCCCGCTCAGATTTCCTGCTCAGTATGGCATGGCCAGGGCCCTGATCAAAGAGTTCTAAGTTCAGACCCCAAATTAGCATTGTGATTAGGATATCCTGTCTCAGCAAAGATGAGTGGACATTCCTATTTCATTCAGTATTGAATCCAGAAGGATTCAATTCTCCCTCCTGCTGTTCATTTGCTCAGAGACTCCAGATTGGGCGCTCCTGGTTTGGATTCGAGACAGAAAGGATTTTTTGGCCCCTTATACATGTTTTTGTTTTTTGAGACAAGGTCTTACTATGTAGGCCTAGCTCTGGCTGGTTCAGAGCGTGCTTTGTAGACCAGGCTAGCCTTGAACCCACAGAGATCTGCCTGCTCTGCCTCCTGCTACTCAGAGTAAGGTATAGACCACCTTAGTTCTTCCTATAACCATTTCCCTTCTCTCTCCAGGATTGGATGACTGAGGTCTGGCCCTGAAAACACGGGGTGAGTAGGGGTTGGGGAGCACAGCAAACCGGCAAACCCTCACTCAGCTGGTCTACCTTGAGGACATGGAGGTTGTACCCACGATGATCTCTACTTATAAAGCCTGCGTTGAGCCGTGGGAAAACCATCTAGATGGCAAACAGGTAGTGTGGTCAGGAAGTAGGAGAGGATTGCAAGAATCGTAAGACAAAGAGCCAGCTACTGCAGCCCAGAGAAAGGCAGTTTGTGGCTGGGTATGCCGAATAAACCACCACCCATTTCTCCACCTGCTGTGATGGGCCAGACCAGACCAGACCAGACTAGGATGGCCTGCAGCAGGTATGACGCTGGGCCCACACTGGGTGGAGCTCCTAACAGGTGTGACAGTTGTCTTCCCGCTTCTTAGAAAGCTGCTCTCAGAAGCCTCTCTAGGAACCCACTGCCAAATTTGGGAGGAAGCCCCAGGATGCATGGGAAACCACCCGTGGCTGCTTCCCAGCTAATTGGGAACAGATACATCAACAACAACCATGTGAGGGGCGTTGTCACCTGGACCCCCAGAACACCCTGCTTGTAACCATAAGGGAGACCTTGGCTAACTCTGGGGACCCTGAGAGATAAGGATGGATTCTCCTTTCAAGTCATTACGTCTTTCTGTGGGGAGTCCACAGATGGCTGGGTCGACATAACAGGAGGCAGGGTATCCCTGGGAAGGCAAGGGGCTTGGGAAAAAATGTTCTATTTGGTGAACTCAGGACCAGAGACGGCTCCTGGTCATCGCAGACTGGACAATCCTATTAGGAAGATTAACTTCCATAAATCCCATCTGAAACCAGTATTTCCCCCCCCCCCCCAGCAGCCACAGAGTAAGGGGAATATCCTTTCTTGGACTTCAGAGAAATCTCACTGCCTCTGTGGCCCCGGTCCTGACCTCTGTCAATGGTCCAACAAGGGATAGCTCTGCCTATCAAAACTCAGCCTGATTCATCCCCCTGCCTGCTTCAGCTCTTGTTATCACAGCAGACACCCTGTGACGAGGACCCCACTGATGTCATTTTATAAAACCTGGGCTCTGAGCCTTGAAGTTGCAGAGCTGGGTCTTGCTTGCCTACCCTGACCACAAAGCCCCAGCTCGTGTGCTCTGCCCTTTCTCCCTCCCCCTCTTCTTCTGCTGTAGACAGTGTTCTCTGGGTCCAAGCAGCTCACTCATTCTCCACCCAATCCTGCCCCAAGGTACCAACCCTTCTTCCATGTGACCCAGTCTTTCTCTGGGCAGCTAATGCCTACCCCTTAGTCTCTGCAATCAGGGTACTCTGCCCAGGACATTCCAGAGATGGTGAGGACACCTTATCTAGGGTTACTTAAGTGCTCCTCCGCCAAGACCCACTTTTAGAGACCACCTAAGATTCTGCACGTTTGTGAACCAGAAGATGGTTCGTAAACAGCTGATGATCCCAGCTGTACGGAGAGGGTACAAGAGAACAGCTGGAAAGAAGATGAGGGAAATCATTAAATAGCCCTTCATAAATATACAAAGCAAATTGGAGAAAATCAAAAGAGCTACAGACGAGGCTTCAGAGGAGATGCTTGGTTATTGCCGAAAGGGCAACACCAGTAGAATGCTTACTGCAGAGATGATCAACCTGGCGGAAGAAAGAAGGAAGCTAAAGAGCAAATGAAGAGGCATTCTTCAGGCAGTTAATACCTCAACTGTCTGTGCAGGGCGGTCAAAAGAAGAGCGAAGAAGGATGGAGAGCTGGACATACAAGTATATGCAAAGAGGTCAAAGAGGCTAGACTCCATAATAAAACACATCTTGTCTACGAAGCTATCAGACGGATAACTGCCAGATATGCTCCTCAGATTCAGGTGAGTAAAGATGGGCAAGGTTATTTATTAACAGGACCAGGGGAAATAAAGCAAAGACAGAGACAATACCATGACACCCTATACAATGACCCTAAAGCTGTCAAACATAGTATACAAGAAACACTTCGACAGCCACTTGGACACCAGAGACAATGGGGAAGTATTAAATATTGACAGGAGTGAGGCAGAGGAAGCTATCAAGAGAGCGAAATTCAGGAAGTCCCCAGGAGTGGACGACAGCATGGTGGAGGAGCTGGAGGCGGCTCAGGGGCCGAGGCACTTTTCAGACTCTTCAGAGAGATTTGGGAACACAAAGAGATTCCCACCAAATGGACGGCCTCAGTTATAATTCCCACACACAAGAAGGACAAGTTGGACTGCTCAAATGACAGGGGCAGTAGTTTGTTGTGCCATAGCAACAAGATTTTCTCCTCCATTATCCTGCAAAGGACCAAGAGCAGAACAGAGGAAAGCCTAGCAGAGGCCCAGTGTGGATTCAGAGCTAACAGGAGCACAATTGATCAGATCTTCACTTTGAGGCAACTGGCAAAAAAAAAAAAAAATATGAAGAATTTGGAAAAGACTTATATGTCTGTCTGTTATATTGACTTCAGGAAGGCATTTGATAGCATCTGGAGGAAAGGACTTTGGGACACAATGAGGTTCTACAGGTACCCAGAGAAAAATCATCAGAATACTAGAAAATGCCTAAAAAGATACCTTTGAATCAGTCAAAGTCTGTGGAGAACTACGTGGTCAGTTTAAGACAATCATAGGAGTGTTGCAGGGATGCGGCCTCTCACCACTACTCTCTCATATATTCCTGGAATTAATAAGAGCAACAGCCCAGGGGCTGGAGAGATGGCTCAGAGGTTAAGAGCATTGCCTGCTCTTCCAAAGGTCATGAGTTCAATTCTCAGCAACCACATGGTGGCTCACAACCATCTGTAATGGGGTCTGGTGCCCTCTTCTGGCCTGTGGGCATACACACAGACAGAATATTGTATACATAATAAATAAATAAATATATAAAAAAAGAGCAACAGCCCAGGAGGATGAGGAGATGGCCGTGCAGATAGGTGGTGTGCGAATCAATAATTTGTGTTTTGCCGATGATACAGCACTGCTTGCTGAAAGTCCATATGAGCTGCAGGCCGTGATACCTAGAGTGGTGGAAGTCAGTGAAAACCTTCTATGAAAGCAAACATTGAGAAGACTGAGATACAATACATGGGAAGGGTGCACAAGGATTTTAACATTGCAATAAAGAATCTGAACCTCAAGCAAACAGTCAACTTTGTCTATCTGGGAGGAAACCACAGTTCAAAGGAGGGAACTACTTCAGATGTCAAGAGGTGGATAGGGACAGCGAGGGCTGCATTCCAGGCACCAGGAAAAGTTTGGTCAACAAGAGATATAACGACAACAACAAAATTAGAAGTATATGAGACTCTTGTCTTGAGCTGCCTTCTTTACAACTCCGAAACCTGGACAACGAAATGCTCCTCAGAACAGCGGCTGAATGTGTTTGAGATGGCGTGTCTCAGGAGGATTCTAGGGGTCACATGAAGAGATAGGCTGTGCAGTAATGACATTAAGAAGCATCTTCATCTACAGAAGGAAGTATACTACAGGATATGGCAGCGGCACCTGAGATTCTTCAGTCATGTTATGAGAATGAATGATGGCAGATACCCGAAGACAGCACTGCTTGGAGGAGTACAGGGGATAAGGGAAGAGGAAGACCCCAAACCGCTGGACAGACAGCATAGAGGACGACTGTGGGACCCTGGGTGTGACAATAACACAAGCATCTAGGACTGCGCAGGATAGGACAACTGGGGAACCGCCACAAATGGGCTGCCCATACATGCTCAGACATTGCTGGGGCATTGATGATGATGATGATGATGAAGATTCAGCACAAGCACTTCTTTCTAGGTTTCTGGACCCAGCGGACACAGACGGGCTGGAGGGGACACCTGTCTCCTGTCCCTATGCTGAGTGCCGCTGTCAACTACTGACATTTATGGTTATAATGAATCTTCACAGGACTCGCTTTGGGAGGGTTGGTGGTGGCAGCTGTCATCCCTCACGGCTGAAGGATCTGAAGCTCTGGGGAAAGTGACTTGTCAAGGTCATGGGTCTGGTTGTCAAGGTCATGGGTCTAGGAGGTCACAAGACTGAGCTCTGGGATCAGAACTCCAGACCTCAGGACCTTCACTTTTTCCTGAGTGCCAGCTGTCTCATGAGATGATCAGCATCTGGTTGTGACCAGGGCTATCCCTACTGCCTGGTCACCATGGTGACAAGCACAACAACCAGGACATCGGCCAGATACTGTCATCTGTGTGGGAGGGAGCAGCCTCAATCAGGGGAGGGTACCTGGGGGCTTCCACGGCGGGACAAAGGTGGAGAGGAAGGGCTGTCCTGCTCGCCTTTCTCTGGAATAAGCTGTGGTAAGCTGGGACCCCCAAGAAATGCTAGAAATGCCTTATTATAATAATGTTAAACAAACCATGTGTAGTGGATGAGGGAGGTGGTGCTCCATTCTTACCCGCGGGCCGAAGTCTCCTGGTGCACCCTGGGAACCAAACACAGGGAAATGAATGGCCACTGATTACGGTTATTTCTCCTCATTTCCTCTTGAACCTTCTCTCTGTGCTTGGCATACATTCTAATGAAACAATAGGCAGGCCTTATTTTAAACCTTCATCTCCAATGAGGCTAAGCAGTATGCCCAAGGTCACACAGCCGGCAAATTGAAGTCAGGGAGGGCCTCATGTATGGCTGCACCCCAGACATTCAAGATCCCACACACAGTGTGGCCTCTGGGACAGATGCTTGCACTGTGTCCTCTTGCAATTCCTGAGCCCTGGACTAGGGAGAGATGATAAAGCCGTGAGCTTTGACACGGTGGGTTATGCAGCAATAGATACACAGGAGCCTGTTTCTCTTTGATCTCAAAGCCCTGGAGTTGTTCCTACAGCTTTGGTGGCATCAGTCAGAATCAGCCAGGAACACAGTCACGATACCTACCCATTGCAGCAGCGTCTCATCCACCCACCAACAATGACCATTCAGACCATGACCTCATGAGACCTCCTCATAGCTCTGTGAGGCTGCCTTTATACAGAGGGCCAAACTGAGGCCCACACAGCTGAGGAAAACTACACAGCGGTGGATCTGGCCTGCTGAGAGGAGGTTCCGAGCCACCAGCTCCTGTGTCATTCCATGACGTTTTCAGCTCTGTTGGCAGCTAGGGGCACTGATTGGTTTGTCCCTGAGTGGCCACATCACCCAGGCATAGCTGTATGTGGTCTCTGAGCCCTGTTCTGGTCCCTCTTTCTTCAGATTCCACCATCATGTCCACAGAAATCTCTTCTGCTCCCTTCCAAGGAACTTGGTGGGTCCTATGTTTAATGCCAGGTGCCAAGTACCAAAGGGGCCACTGCCCAGAGCTGTCAGATTTCATGTCTAGAAGCATACAGTCCCTTCAAAGGTAGTAGCCCTTTGGAGTCTGGGCTCCATCTATTTATCAGTGGATGGGCCATCTATTTATATATCCATCTGTCTATTTCTTCATCTGCATACTAATTCATTCATCTTCCCACCCATCCACTTACTTCACGAGGGGCTGCCAAGAGAACCCTCTCCCACTTGTGTCTCTAAAGGGGTGTCTTCCCCACAGAGGACTTCATCCACCATCATCACTTACGCTCCAAGCCCTCTGGGCACCCTGCTCACTGCAGAAACTGCCTTTGTTTTGGTCTGCTGGGACACCATATACCAGATCCAACCCCACCAGCATCTGGTATTTGAGTATGTGACCCTTTTTAGAGACGGGCATTGGCATTGCTTGCTCCACTCTACAGAGGGGGCATTGGAGGCTCGGGGGCAGGGGGCTGACTTGCTCAGTTTACCACTCTGGACCCGAGGTTTGGAGTTGGCTGCTGGCATCCTTCATTAGTGCACAGTATCCAGACAGCATCCAGCTGCACTCACCTTTTCCCCTTTGGGGCCCGGAAGTCCCTGGGCAAGGAAGACAGAGAAAGAACAGGCATGAGTGAGGTGAGTCAGGCTGGCTCCACTTCTGGCTGACTCACGGCTGTGAGGGCAGGGGGACACGTGGGGCTAGCAGAGCTGCGGGCATCTGAGTGGAACACTACACAGGCCTGTCAAATTGTCCTCGCTGTCTCCTGGGTTCTCCACATCTGCCTTCAGCATGATGGAGGTCAGGGTTTGGGGGTCAGCAGCGAGGGTCCACGGGCATCCTCTGAGCAGGAAAAGGATGCATATGCTAGTTTTTCTGCCTAGAGGGCTCACATAGTCCATGCTTTGTCTCTGCTGGCGAGGAGGCCATGGTCCAGAGTTGCCTTCTAGTCTCTAGAATACTTTACTTTAAGAGCAGTGGCTCCTTGAATTTTAGGTTCCATCCATCTGTCCTTCAATAGGTCACCCACCCACCCACCCACACATTTATCCATACAGTCACTCTTTTCCTACCTCCCATTTATCCATCTTTGTACTCATCTACCTGTTTCCCCAGTAACTCATGTATCCATTCATGCATGAATGCATCCCTCCATCCATCTACCCATTTATCTATTCCACTCATCTATTAACCTTCTCATCCACTCACTTATCCATGCATTCACTCATTTGCATACTTCCCATCCATCCATCCATCCATCCATCCATCCATCCATCCACCCATCCATCATCCATCCATCCACCCATCCATCCATCTATCCATCCATCCACCTACCTACCCATCTACTCAACCCCCATCCATGCACCCATTTATCCACTTATCTACCCATCTATCCATCCTTGCAACCACCCACTCATCTGTCTACCCATCCACTAATCCATCCACCCACCTACCAGCACATCTATCTGCCTACTCGTTCACCTATACCCCATTATTTATTTAACTGTGCTTATATTTCCCTGTGCACCTTGTTCATCTGCTGAGGATACCTGTGGACCGTGGACTCCTGGCACAGGTATTGAGAACTTAATAGCCTGACGGCCATCATGGAAGTCTTGAGAATGTGTTAGACATTCTGTGTCTAGGGTCTGTTGGGATGGACTTGTAGACTTTGAGCACTGACTAAATGCTACTTATCATTCCCTAGAACTCCCTAACACCCCCTAGAAGAGGTTCTGAGAGGCAAGAAGGGGGAATAGCATCTCCATGGTTACTTAGTCAGCAGATGGTGGAGATGGATTTGAAAACACATGACAAGTGGCTTTGTCTTGCTATCCTATAGCTGCGGAGCTAACTTCTCAGTTCCCTGAAGTGTCCCATGGTCACTTTACCCCCACAGTGGCAGCCCTACCCCAGGACCATCTGGTACTGTTGTGGTGACTTACTGGCTTGCCATCCAGACCCAGAGGTCCCTGTAACATGAGAGAGAGAGAGAGCAAGTGTCACATACAGGAACATCCCTTCCACATCTTTGGACCCCAGTGCATTATATACGGTGACAAGTGACAAGAAAGCAAAGTCTGTCCTGAACCCTGAGGGCACATCCCATGTGGCCAGGGGAGGGCAGTTGTGTGTGGTCAGCCATTCAGAATCCCCTTCTCTGATAACAGAACCCCAATTCTTCTCTAAAGCCCTCTTCGTCATTAGGGGGGACTGTTGAGGGTGGGCAATGACCATGCGCTTTTACAAGGTGATAGGTGCAGGCCTGGGATGCAGGCTGAGCCATGAGCATCACGCTTGAGACTTCAAATGGTGCTCTCAAGGGGAAAAGGGTCTCTTTTCTCCCAATGGACTTGAACCAGGGTTTTTTACCCACAACTCCCCCCCCCCATGTTGCTCGAGAGAGAGAGAGAGCCACAGAAAAGAAACAGAGCTGAGAGTCCAAGAGAAAGACAGCGCTGAGGGCTTGTAGCTGCAGTGCTGCGGGGGTCCTCACACTTCTGCACACCTGGGTTTCCCTTAAGCCAATGCAACTTGAGTAGCCGTCACTTAGATTCTGCTGTGGCATGTGACAGTAACAATAAGGGCTGAGATTTCTAGACAATATTGGGGCCAGAGCTGACAGTAGGGTACCTTAGGACCACTCTGTGGTGTCTGCAGAGGGCCCCTGACCCTAAGGGAGACCCTTTGCCTGTCTATCCACCTGTTTACTGAATAGATCTCACCCTAGAAGGATTCAGCATGTGGAGATTCTGAAGACCAGGGTTGCTCGGTCACTGAAAGTCCCTGTCTTTGTCACTATGGTCCCCTCACCCCCATATGTATGTCACTTTTTTTTTTTTTTTTTTTAAGAAACGTTTCAGTTTAAATGAACTTCACCTTTGACCCCGGGATCATTGCCTGCAGCCCCACCCTTCTGAGCCTTTGTATACACTGTCCCCCTGCCTGGCTCACCCTTTTCTCTGCACATCTTTTCTTTACTTTTTTCTTTTTTCTTTTTTTTTAAACTTTATTTAACTTTATTTCATGCGCATTGGTATAACAATGTCAGATTCTTTGGAACTGGAGTTACAGACAGTTGCGAGCTGCCATGTGGGTGCTGGGAATTGAACCCAGGTCCTCTGAAGGAGCAGTCAGTGCTCTTAACCACTGAGCCATCTGACCAGCCCTCTTTACTCTTTTCTTTCGTTAAGATTTATTTATTTTATGTATATGCTATTCAATCTACATGTACACCTGCACGCCAGAAGAGGGCATCAGATCTCATTACAGATGGCTGTGAGCCACCATGTGATTGCTGGGCATTGAACTCAGGACCTCTGGAAGAGCAGTCAATGCTCTTAATGGCTGAGCCATCTCTCTAGCCTGTTTGCTTGTTTTCATTTTTTTTTGAGACAGGGTTTCCTTGTGTAGCCCTGGCTGTCCTGAAACTTGCTCTGTAAACCAGGCTGGCCTTGAACTCACAGAGATCCACCTGCCTCTGCCTCTGCCTCTTGAGTGCTGGGATTAAAGGTGTGCACCACTGCTCTCGCTAGCTTGGTTACCTTCTCCTCCATAAAATCTCCCAGGTTTTTCTACATCCTAGAGTGGGTCATCTGTTCTTGTTCCCGGCAATATAGCCTGGTGGTTTCAAGTGACACACGGCTAATGTGTGTTCTGCGTGTCTACCACAGCCAAGAAGAAAGTTTCCATTCCTGACTCTTGAGCCCGTGAGTGAGGCCTGATGTGGAACATGTGGCCAGGGGATGCTTGGGTCAAACATTGCTCATCAGAAAACCTGAGCTCTGGGCTTGACTGTAGCTCAGTTGGTAAAGTGTTTGCCCAGCATGCACAGACCTCTGGGTTCAATTCCCAGCACCACGTAAACCCCCAGGCACACCTGAAATCCCAGGCATCGGAAAGTGGAGGCAGGAGGATCTGTAAGTCTAAGGTCATCTTCAGCTTCATAATGAGTTCAAGGTCAGCCTGAGCTACACAGGACCCTGTCTCAAAATCTGAAATTTCATGTAGCAACACGAAGCCCAACCAGCGGATGCTCTCACGTGGTGAAACTTTGCTTCAAGCACACAATTATTTAACATACTTCACTAACAGCAGGCTCTGGGCATAAGGTAGATTTGACATGTCATGTCAGCCATTTTTGTTTGGACTGGGGTCCCATCCCTGTAGTAGCTCATCATACATATGCAAATACAGGTTGATTATCCTTCATCCAAAAGGCTTGGGAAACATGCATCTTGGATTTTTCATTTTTCCTTTTTGCATTTTGGAATGTTTGTATTTACATAATGAGATATCTTGGAGATAGTCCCAAGTGCAAACATGCAATGCGTTTATATTCCATTTACATATTATTTACATATCTTGAAGGTAATTTTTCATGCTATTAATAATTCTGTCTCCTAAGAACAGTGCCACACTGTAGAATTTTCCAGATGGGGCGCTATGCTGACACTCAGGAAGTTTCTGACTTGGGAGCACTTCAGATTTGCAGGTGAGGGCTGTTAACTTGTCACAGGAGGGAGGAAGGAGAAAAGGGACAGAAAATGGATGAGCCCTGGCACTTCATAGCCAAGAAGGAGCCGTGTTCAGCTTTGGGCTGGGGGTAGCAGAAATGGTTAGGGAGAGCTACCTGGGGAAAACTACTTGGGGACTAGGATCTAGTTTGGATGTGGTGAACATGAGGGGAGGGAGGCAGTGTGGGCAGAGAAGGGCCCAACTAAAGCAGGGAGTGGGTCCTGATCTTTAGGACAGAGCTGAACCAGTCATGACCTGCAGGGATGGTTCTGGGCTCATCTCTGATGAAGCCGGGGTAAGAAAGGCATCCCTAGGCCTCTGAATAAACTCCCCTCTGGGTGGGTGGTTTGGGCCTCTGAGAGACTGCCGGGTGGAGGGCGGTTAATGGGAGTCAGTGGCCACTGAGGAGCGGGGTGGTGGTGGAGGGGCTGAGAAGTAGGCAGAGGAAAGGACATCCGGCTCTGTAGTCAGAAGGACTTGCCTGACTCGATGACATGCTTGCCATGTCCCTAGTATCCTGCAGAGGATGGGGATGGGAAGGGAAGGGGAGGGCTGAATTGCTCTGAGCTGTAGAACTTCCCAGGGGGAACTATTCATTTCTCCTCTACCTTCCTCAGACAGATGCTCTATGGTCCCCTATCCCGTTGACTTGCCCATGGAGAGATTTTTGTGGTCCAGGAAAAATATTTTACTCTGTAGAGTTTCCCCAGTCTCATGGGTGCCCCTGTGCCCCATCTCAGGGCCTGGCTATTAGGCTATATGGGTTGTTTGCAAAGTAGGCCTTTCCATGGTCTGGAAAAGGGCCTAAGCCTGGCTCTGGATGAGAGAGAGAGAGAGAGAGAGAGAGAGAGAGAGAGAGAGAGAGAGAGAGAGGGGCAGGCCTCAGGGAAGGACTAGTCTGGCTAATTCCAGAATAGATCTGGCTGTTGTGTGGTCAGGCGAGTTAGTTAAGGCAGGACAAAGTCCAGGCAGACTGGAAGGACAGAACTCCAGACTGGCTGGATGCTCTAGGCAGTAGGATTAGGGGCGGGTGTCTTTCCCATCAAAGCGACCCACCCCTGTCTCAGACAATGGGGAACCGACAGCTATTCCCGCCCTTCTTGAATTTCCTGCTAGAAATACCAAGGAGTAAAGTATCCCGAGCCTTGCTCGGCCTGGGTTCAAATTCCTCCTCTGACCCACACTATCCTGCCTGTGGGAACCCCTCTCCTTCCTGATCAAAGTTGTAGGATCCACCAGAGACTTTCATCACCTCTGCCCTCCGTGAAACCCCACAGCTGTTTACAAGTCTCAGTTCTGCTTGAAGTCACTTTTCCTCCAGGAGATCAGCTGGCTCCCGGATGTTTCTGGATGTTCGAGAAGCAAATAAAACCACAGGCTGCACATGAATCGCGAGCAAAACCCCAGGCAGGCTCAATCTCCCGCCTCATTCAGTGACCGGGATGGCCCAGGCCTTGAGTTTGTATAAGGTGGGAGTCAAGCCATTCTCTTGAGTGACAAGTTCAAATTAGGTCCCAGGTCAGCAACCCAAGACAGGGAATAGCTTCAGGTTAGCTGACTCGGAATCGGGGTTTGAATTGGCCCTGGCAGCAGCAGTGCTATGTGGCTTTCTGAGTGGGTAGGCTGGATTACCTACTAACACTGCAGCCCCGGTGGCTTGGAACTCAGTATATAGACCAGGTTGGCCTCTCAAACTCACAGAGATCCACTCGCCTCTGCTTCCAAAATGCTAGGATTAAAGATGTGAGCCACAACTCCCGGCACCTTTTAAAAACATTATTTGGGGCTGAAATGATGGCTCAGTGTTTAAGAGCACATGTTGATGTTGTTGCAGGGGGCCTGGGTTTGGTTCTCAGAACCTACATAATGGTTCACAGCCCTTGGAAACCCCAGTTCCAGAGATCTGAAGCCTCTGGTCTCCACGGGCACCAAGCAGGCACATGGTCCACATGCATATAT